AAAATGCTATGTTTTAATACATACATTTTCAATTTTAACAGTGATTGCAGTAACAGCAACAATAGCAGTTTTTTTGTGATTAATGAAGGTAGAAACACGATAGACTTAAACATAATATTATTATGATAACAAAAAAAGCACTTCTAACATTGTCAGGTTTAATACTGTAGCAGTTAATCGTCTAAGTTTACGCTACGTTTGGCACGCTCATATTTTTTACATTGAGGCGCCAAATAATGGGCTGAACAGATGACTCTCAACTCCCCTAGCTAACTTGATGAAAAATGATCTCCATGTAATGGAAGAACAAGCGTTTGATTGGGATGTTGCAAGTGTACTTGTGCAAGTCATAGGTTAATTAGTAAATCAAAGTGAAGTTGTAGGCGAGGAGGCGGCGCCGGGTGCGGGCGTTGTATGTGCAGCCTCTGAATACATTAGTCTGTGTTGTGTTTGCTCGCCACGACCGAGCCACATGGCGACGCGTCGCTCTGTTTATTTTAATACTCAACCATTGTTGCTTGCCACTGTTTGCCGAGGGAACTGTATTAAACTACCCCTTACGGATTTGTATGAGGAGACCTGCTACGAGAATTAACTTGCACGTTTCACATCAAACACTTTTTGGAAATGAAAAGATATAGTGTATTTTACAAAATTTCTTTATTTAAAGGTTGTGAGTCCTATTATAGACTAAGGATTTTATATCCTAGCCTCAGCCCTCGGCTCCCAACGCATAAAAGAATTGCATGTATCCTGAGATTTTTAAAAAGGCAGCATTTAGAGCGATGGTTCGGCTTAAATACGAATTGTAGGTATTAGTGAAAGAATTTTGGAAATCGGTCCAGCGATTCCAAAGCTTATCCCCTACATATAAACTTATTAATTTGACCTTTTTATAATATTAGTATAGATAAAACACAAAACAGATAGTTTTATCGCTTAGTGTTAGTTACGCAAAACTAGGATTGAGAATAATATACAAATGCAAGACTTCGTTCAACGTAATGTTATTGAATCTAGCAGAAAATAGAATGGGATCCATTATTTTAAATTGTTTGAAAGACTTGTCCGAGTAACGTCAATGAATAATGAATGACTACAAATAACTTAGGTTTTAGATTGTAAAAGGTATATGAATGTAGTAAGTATGTATAGTAAACATCATATATATACTTATGAAGCAATTGCGTTTGAGAAAGATATAGTAAGAGACAACGTTATGGTATTACATACATATGTAGATATACCATATATTCACAACATAGTATTAAACGAAATTGCTGTCTATGCCCTATATCCCCATGTATGCTTAAGTTAGGTTGGTATGATTTTGATGCGTTTTTTAATATACATATAGAGTGATTAAAGAAGAAGGTTTATATGTATCAAATAGTGTAGTACTTTAGTATCATGGCTACACGGCGATACTTGCGAAAACGGGGAAAGTCGCTCGTTACTCTAAAAGGCATCAATGTTAGGTAAGAATTTCCTCTGTGTAGTTACCACCAACTGTTTCATACATAAGTATACCAGCCAGGGTCACAAGTCAAACGCTAGATAGTATCGAGGCCTCACCCTGGAGCAGGAGAAGGGGAAGGTTTAAAGGCAGTAAGAGTCTGACTCACCACGATGATTTATCGAAAAAAATCCGCTTCATCCTGTCCTACTAATCCTACTAATATCATAAATGTGAAACCTTTTAAGAACGTATGTTTATTATTATTTCGCGCAAAAACGACTAAACTGATTTGGTTGACATTTGATATTACCCTGAATTAATTATAGGCTGCTTTTTGTCAACATACTACGCGGGCAAAGCCGCGGTCGAAAGCTAGTAAGCAATACTTTTCCACAGAACAGATTTATTTTAAACACAAATCCCAACTCATAGACTAGTTACTAAGACAACATTGATTCTAAAAGTAGTTTGTTTTACTTTAGTGACGTGAAACATTACTATTACTGACGTGATACAGTACCTAATTCCTTTTTAATTAGCAACTGACTGCAAATACTGTAAAGTTATTGCCAAAAGCTTTCGACTTGTTACTGCATCCGACAAGGTCATAAGTACTATTCGATGATTTATTTTAATGTTTTCTTGTAAATAATTACGTGCAAAATTAACGGTAATAAAGCTAATTAGTTTGGCATCACTCAGGGCAGTAAACTTCTAATTTATCAGTCTCATCAACACTCCGCTTGACAGTTTCACTGGAAAGACACTACTAGCGGCGTAAGTTTTATTAAAAACTTTAATATATTAGTAAAAAAAATCTCATTTAATTATTTTATCCTTGCTGTAAATGGACAAGGCGCAACGTCGTGATGAGCTTTTTTTTGAGGGGGAAAAATTATTAAATTACTTCTCTCGCCCAGACTCAAGCGAGAGCGAGTTTCAGACTCTTACTGCCTTAAACCCCTTTGATCCTTCTTCTACCAGTCGGGGCTGTGGTACCCAGACCGATACATAATACTAGTTGTCACCTAGCGAATTTTATAGCTTTTTTTCGCTAAAGATAATGTAGCTTCACAATATTGACATAATTTTTCAAACCTGTGTGGTAGTTTCGGATGCTAATCAATTCAAAGAAACAACCAAATTTTTCTTTATAATATTCATGAAAATTATCAGTTTTTATTTTAATCAAAAGTACTTGAATTGATGGCACAAATCTAATTAATATTAATATACTTAGAGCATTTTCATGAGTTCTACACACATCGTGTCTATGCAAAGTACAGAGACTACATTCCTAAAAAATGGGCCATTTATTTCATCATTACCTACTATGGAGATGGAGACATGGTGGCATGTTGTATTAACTCACGATAATGAATATTGTATTGATTTCATGATAATTACAATTCATTGTATGGTCACGGATCTTATGGGCAGTGCATCTGCAGAGCGGGAGCACTTGTTTAATTACATTTGCCGGCAGCACCTCGCGCGCCGCCCTCTCGCCGCTCAATTCGGTTCATTTGCAAAGTGCATTTCGATGCTGTGCTCGATTGTCCCAACTACCCTTAATTGCCCGGCCGATATTTATTATTGCCATTTGTTTGTGCATTTACGTGCCCACTGTACATGGAAAGCCATTTGATTTACGAGTACAAAATTCCACTCGTTAATTCGTTTCGAGGGATCACCTGCACACAATCATTTTATGGCCCATATCGGTAGAAAAGTTGAGCGAAATATTTACATTAGGGGCACGCATCACATTCGATAAACATCGCAACGAATTCCTACAAACACATCGGCGGACGTTTATTTGCCTCGGGCATACGCTCGGCTTCACTTCGACTTCGCATTCCGCTCGCCGTCGTATCGGTACTCATTTGTATTGGCGGCGGCTTTTGTATTATTTGTTTGTTTGCGGATGCCGCATACGTTGTGGGAGCTTTGATTTTTTCCAATTCGGAAATAATGCGGAAGGCGTGGTGCTGGGGGCGATCGGGCTCGCCGTGACTCCGGCTCCAATCAGCCGAGCCGTGTGTTCGTTAGTCGCCGGCACCGGCGAGCCTTGCCGCTTGGTTAGGCCGGGCACGTATCTACGTGGGACCTTTCCACTCCGCAGCACTGATTTTCTCTTAGATCCGATGAAATGATGAACTTCAGCAATCTTCGACTTCATTTGTTGAACAAATCTACCGCGAAATACTACGCGTGCACTGGATTTTTCTGTTAGGTTACATTGAAACTCCATGTTTGATTTGTTATTTAACGAAATCAAGAAGTTGATCTGAAAAAGCATCAGTCGTGTAAATGTGTGGATGAATGGAAGCCATTTTTATACGAAAACCTTAAACCAAGGAAATGTAGCTACTGTTTTTAGATATTTCCATTTTGAAATTAACTAACAAAATGCTAATAACTAATAGAAGTTGTACCTATATTGCCACATGCCGATACCTTGTCACAACGTTTACCGTGCATATTCGATGCATGTATTGTATAATACAAAGTTTAACAATGACCTATATTCAAAACGGTCTGCTGTAAATACAGTAATAGACAAACAAATTGCATTATGATCCTTTTAAACAGTTAAAATAATGAGTTCTTATTTATAATACAACAGCTATGTTAATATTTCTATTAGTTAACTTTAGGGACTGCAGTGAACCTTGTCGGGTGCGCGGTCTCCTTGTTGGCGCGAGCAACTTGTAAATCATAATGATGTGTATGAAAGGTAACGCGCATTGGTGTGTGAGTGGGCCGCATCATTACATTAGTTCTATAACGAGATCAAGCGGCGTCAATATGTCATGTGTGACGTGACGCGGCCCTCGGTGCAGCGTGGTCACACGCGGATGTGCTGCACTCTCCAGCCACCACCTGTGCACACACTGACATACGACCAACTGCCTACACGAGACAAAAGTAGCGTCCATACATCTTGCTCCAATGTCAACGGTACATATTTCTCAGTTAGTCACACCACATGTTTGCCATTACTGAATTCCATACACATAGGAAAACTGTCACAGTATCTAAATATTAATAGAGCAGCAGTCCAGCTTTGGGAATCTTCCGGCACTGCTCTAGTGAAACAGTAATAAAGCATTCGAAATGTTTCTAGAACACAAGCAGGTCATTAACGTTTGTCATGATCACTGCCAAGGAGAATTTACGTAGAAATATGTATGTAGGCGGCGAGTAATTATTAATATTTGTTTGTGTTCATCATAATAAACCAATTAGCCAGAACCAAGTTTATGTTGACTTGTCGCTTAAGCCACCCGAACAACGTGGGCAGTTACTTTCTATAAATAAAATGAATCTTGCAATTTCAATAAATTAATGCTTAATGCTCCCAAAATTATCCACTGTTCTCTACTCTGTTATAAATTATAATACTGATACAGAGAAATAGTGGCAGTAGTATGTATCGACAGATAGTAAAGCAGCTAATATGAGTGTACTCTCATTAACATATAACAATTAAGCAATGTACGAGTCAATCTCAGCGATAGCAGTGAAATGAAGAAATATGTATAAAGGTGAGCAAACATCATCAGCGAACTGCGATGTTCAAACAATGGTGCGTGTGATTGTGCAGGTCACAGAGCAGGCGGGGCGGGAGCGGGCGCGGCCGCGTATGTCGACCGAATATTTTTTACTCTGTGCTCAATCAGCGCCAGTGGCAGTTGCAATTATCTTTCGCACCAAATCGAATTATGATCAATTCGGATTTGCGCGCATCCGAACGAATATAAAACGGTTTGCATTAAAATTTGGCGCTCGATGCATGGGATGCGTTCCCATTAGTCCGGTCGAGCGCTAACTTTGTTTGCTCATTCGTGCCCACGTCCGGACCTGGCGTTTTCATTATATTTTTTATTGTACGTATTCGGTTTTGTTTACGATGCTTTTTACTTCATTGCTGTTCGGATTTTAATTATGGGTATACCTGTTATCTGTTGTTGGTAACAATGGATCAACAAATCGTTATCGTATCGTGCATTATTTAAAACTTTGTATGAATTTATTTTTATTATATTATCTAATCAAAATATATCTATAGGTGAACATACATGGGAGCAGCGCGACAAACTAATTGTAGCTCAGCTAATAATATCAACTTTTTACTCTCATGATAAGCCTAGAAGTTTAGCACTTAGAGAAGTGCGATGATGTTCAAAGAGTTACTTGCATTTTCAGGTGTGGTTCCAAAACCGGCGTGCGAAGTTTCGCAAGCAGGAGCGCTTGGCTCAACAGAAGGCGGGTGAGGCTCCTGTGAAGGCGGAGGGCAAGAGAGACAAGCCAACATCGCCCGCAGCATCGCCCCACCCGCCGGCAGCGCCCGCGCCTCAACCCGCCCACCACGCACTGCCGCACCTGTCACCACCAGACCTCAAGCCTATCACCTCAGCAGGTAGATATCGTAAGTTGTTCAATATGATACGTAGTACCTATATAAACATATAAGCTTTCGCCCGCGGTTTCTAGCGTGTGGTATGTTGATAAAAAGTAGCCTATGTGTTAATCCAGGATATGAACTATCTTCATAGGTAAGCGCAATAAGGCAACGCGGCCTCGGCCTAGAGCAGGAGAAGGAACGGAGGGTTTTTAGTTAGTAAGAGTCTGACACTCCCTCTCTCCCCACCGTGGCAAGTCATTCGATGATTTTCCCCTCACAAAAAAAGGTGCTAGGCATCTACAAACCAAATTTCAACCAAATTGGTCCAACCGTTTTTGCGTGAAAGAAAAACAAACATAAATCTCTCATTCTCACAAACTTCCACACATATATTACTAGCAGGATGTACATTTAAAAATTTCACACATATCCGACGTCCCGCAGTTCTCTTTTGAAATGCGTCTACTTATGACAAATTGTCTTACAACGTTGTCAAAGAATTTAAAAATGAAATTGCATTGTAGCTTGTACATACTTGTATTTTGTTCTAATGAAAGTTGTGATTGAAAAATTGGTTTTGTGACAAAGAAACAATGTTTTGTAAATATTTTGATTACACATCATTCAACGTGAGCCGAGTCAGAAATAATTAATCTTTACAAACATTTTCTGCCTTGATCTTTTGCCAAGAATGGGTTTTAAATTATGTGGATTATCGGGTACAGTTTTAGGAATATAGTTTTTTATGGCATGATGTACGTACACCTGTAGCAAAGTTACTTTAATGTCAAGCTATCACGTGACTACGAGTATGATATCGCAAATAACTATCTAAAACAAGGATTTTTTTTAAGAGCAATTTGCTTGGTATTCGTTTTTATTTTTTGAGGAATTGTGATTATTTTGCCCTTTTGACGATTACCTATAGCAAGAGGAAGTGTCAGACTCTTACTGACTAACAACCACCCCGTTCCTTCTCCTGCTCCAAGCCGAGGAGCCGCGGTACATTATTTCGTTGGACATAACTGTTTAAAAGATTTACGTTTATTAAAAAGTGCCGGTGTACCGGGTAAATGCACATATAGTCCTTTAGCTGGGTCTCAGCATATCCGTGGGAAGACTAAGGGTGATGATCTAATTGCCTTCACAGCACAGTCTTTATAGCATAAAATAAATATAACAGTTTTAGGATATTGCTGAAGAAAGTATATAAAACGATTTTTGTCGGACATTTTGTTTAACCAGTGGTAGTGACGCGAACGCAGTGTTTACCTTACTCCCGAAGATGTTGACGTCACTGCCCGATTTAGACGATTACAACATTAAGTCACATTTGATCGACTATTCTCGTAGACGGTATGTCGATGAAAACAATAATTTGTTTGTGTTTTTTTATTTCTGAAATTCGTATAAATTGCGACAAGAATTTTTAATCTAAGAAGTCAGTTAAAATGATATTATAATCTCTGACCAATAATGTTCGAAGTTTAAAACTGAATAGCAAATGCAAAAACTTACAAAAATATTCCTTATGGTCGATTACAAGAGGCCAGTTCACAGTCTCTTAAAATTTTGTTTACAAAGTTATGTACTTAATAAAAGATACAGTATAGTAAATGCTTCTCTCATCCCTCATTATTGTGCCACAGATTACAAAGGAGTTGATGTCAATAGAATACTTTGTAAGCAAAGAGTTCCAAAGGTTCGATTTTTGAAAACTAATTAAACTCAGTGTTCACATAAACAACATGGGCCCAATTTACTCTTCACTGTTTTAGTAAATATTTTAAGTTTTTTTCGTTATTTTAGCTGTTTAGCGATTTAAATATAGTTTTAAAAATATTTAATAGTAAAAATAAATTTACACAGGAACTTTGAGTGATTTAATAAGTAATGTGAAGAGTTTTCCAAATTGCAACACAAACTTTAATAATTTTGTTCGTTAATATGTACGCTTGACATTTAGTATCCGACTTTTAGAAATACCTACTCGTGTGAATCCTAATTTAATAATATCAATTGCGCGAAAAATTTTTGCGTTTTATGTTTTGTCTTTGACATGACTCAATGTTTATTTTCGGTTAATTTTTTTGGCAACCATAGATATTGAAATGTACCTTTTTATTCTAATGAAGTAAATAATGATTTGCTTCAGGATACAAGATGTCAACTGTTGCTACTAATTGATGGCAGGTTTTAAATTAATGAGAACATGTAAGAGTTTCAAAGTGCTACTAAAGCTTTCTCGGAATAAAAGAAGAAAAATAATACTTTATTACCTACGTCTTTACGCTTAGTTTCATTAAGATTAATTGCTTACAACGTACCTACGCTGCAGCTAACATTCCAAACAATAAAATTTAGTTATTTAACTTTGTGAAGCTTTTAACTGTTTTCGAGAAAAAAATATATAGAATATCTTGTTTTTCTATCGTATATTTTCGTTCCAATAGTGATGTCACGAAATATTTTTGGGCAACATATCTTACCAATGTTACATTGATCGTTGAAATTATAGCCGAGTGAGTCATACAGACCGACCAATCAGAGAGCTGGACACACTATTTCAGCTCACATGTTTACGTGGGCGAATACAACAAGGCTGCTTTCGACAAAATATATACAGCACTTCGAATTAGTGGATTTTAAATATAGAACAGTGATTGTATTGTATGTTATTTAAATACAATGCTGCACGTCTTAGGAATGTGAACCAAATAGCTACAAATTTGTTCCAAATTGAAAAAAAAAATGGCTTGTTCATTCCTGCACATACGTTTATTATATTCCATTAACCTATATTAACAGGTTTTCTAATGTGTTAATAATGTCATGTAAGAATGGTTTTCAAAAGTATTTCTTTAGCAGTACTCCCAGTTTAAAAATAAACAATAAATAAACTACTTTAAACTAAAAGTACTTTATAGCCATAAATAAAATGTTTCTTCAGAATCATGTATCGGTTCATATGTACGCGGCTTTACAGAGATCGCAAGACCAATTTACCATGAACTTGGTATTGGTAAGATAAACAAGTCTGCTACGTCTCTCACTCTTAACAGAAATAGAAACTGCATATATCAATGTTACTGCTGTAAAAGATTGTTTTATAAAAGCACTTAAGCTTTTTTGGTACAGTCGCTAGTCGACAAAATATTGAATCACTCATCTAGAAATTGGATTCTAAAACATTGGTATTTGGGACAAGGTTCTTGTTCCTGTGACCACGGTCAACTTACTACGTGACCTACTATTAATACATATGTACGTAGATACAGAGCGCTAGACTCGAAGCAATAAGTAGAATCAAGACAGGCATTAGCCAAGATTTAACAAACACTAGAAAGCCTTTCAAGACTAAACCATATTAAGTCAGGTATGAACATAAAGCAAGATTAATATAGATGTGATATAACATCATCCAGGGTTGTATATACCGAACTAGGCACAGTGGTTCACCGGCTAATGGCGGACTTGTGGTCGTATTAATCACATTACGGCCGCCGCCGCCACCGCGCCAGATTTTCACTTCGGCTCATTTGCGCTAATTGTGCGCGCGATTGTCACTCAGGCTTGAATAAACAACGGAGCCGCGCAGCAAGGATTAGGTGATTAGCGCTTAATTGTGTTACCACGATTATTTCATGTTCGCCCGTCGAGCTGCAGTCTGATTTCATATTCGGGCAGATTTGTGTGCACAAGTTTTGCTTGTTTAGATTCAGTTGTAAGATCACCACCCTCGGTTCCTACATGTTGTATAGTTATCGATGTTAGCCTTCCAACGATTCTTGTGTTCAATGGACCTGAAGATATTGCACATTACTGTTTATGCAGGGTTCTATTTTGTTTACGAGTTAAACGACTTATGCTAATGATATGTTTATGTGTTGTGCAGCAAACAAATTGTGCGAGGAGCTGAACGGCGTGGGGGGCGACGTGGGCTTGCCGCCTGTGAGTGGCAGCGGCGGCGGCAAGTGGACCGGCGGCTGCGGGCTGCTGCGTCAGCCCTCCGGCTTCCCACTCCTCGGCGTTGCGCCACCCAATTACTTACTGTCGGACCACCTCGGAACCCTCGCCAAATCGAACAACCATCTTTTCTAATGGGCGTAACATCGTCGCCCTGAGTCACCGTCCGTGGCGCGTCGACGAGTCCACGGGGAGCGAGCCGCTGTTTCGCCCGCACCGCGACCAACCGGCTCTCTGCACCCACTACACTTGCATTTCATGAACATTCCTCGTTACACTGTGCCAAGTGAAGACTTTACAAAGTGATATCTAAGAGACGAGATTTTGATCGTGTGTAAAACATTCCAAGTGCCAATTCGTGTCCATTTAAAGTATGTATTGTCGCATTAATGACAAACGGTCTAAATCAATTTTTAGATGTATTTATTGTAACAAACCAGTCGATCGTACCTACAAGTTGCCTGTTATATGTACACGGGTGTTTAGTTTTAGATAGTTTACGGTAATGAAGGTTTTGTGTGATACGATTGTAAATAACATTCCGATTGTATACGTTTAATAAAGGTATACTTGTTCAGTGAACACTTGAAGTAAACGAATATTATGTCATTTTAAATGTTGTCCTATGAAGTTATGGTGTATTTTATTCGTCGATACCTAATACCATAATGAAATGTAATTAGTACCTAATCCAATCGCAGTTTGAAGTATTTCCGCGAACTGTTGCGAGATTGTGTCTTCGTATTTATTCTAGTCAGAAGAAAATTAGTTTTATTTGAAGGCAGATAAATGATTATTTATTAATTAAGAGCATAGATAATTAGTTCGATATTACTGGCCAACAATCTGAAGTTGGCTGTGAGCGATGTAAATATGTAACAAATTATTTGTAAATACTAGATATAATAGTGGTGTACCCGAGTGTATGTAATTATTGATGAATTTGTGGAGGGTGTTTTAATAAAGCAAACAATAAAACGTGATATTTTGTTTCTATTCATAACCTTGTGCCCAATTGATATTATTCGTTCTCGTTACCCAATAGTGATTATTATTTAATAAATGTTTTATGTAACAATACATAAGCTCCGTAAAATCTTTTTTATTTGTCGATTTATTTAATTTTTAAGTATTACTGCGCTAAGCTAAGATTTAGCTTAATAGTACACTATGTTAATATGGTACACGTGTGTAATGTGTGAGTACCGCTTAGGCCCATCAAGTAGAAAAATGAATAACAATACATGTGAAGTCTAATGTAAATATTATTATGTTTTTAATTTTCGTCATTATTGATAACACTTCTTACAAATTAGGATTGTTTACACGCTGCACGAAGGAGTTTGTTTAACTTTAAGTCGTGTTATGTGTTTCAGGCCATTTTAGTCACAGAGATATTTCGTTTCTTAATAACTTTCTTAAAATGTTTGATAATATTATATTGTAAAGCCTTTGTGAAAAGTCACAGTCGCTATTTATTTTCGATATTAGACGACTAACTTGAAAAACATTTTCATATAGTAGTATTATTTTTATCAAACATTGATTGTAAAATTATGTTAAGCAAAAATACTTTCTCTATCAGAGTCTGATATACATTAAACACATCGAGTCTGCTTTCTAGAATAAATAAAGGACAGATACACAGAACTGAAATAACACACTTGGAGACAAAATGCCCTTGGTTTCACAGCAGTAAAGGTCAGTGGAATACAGGACTGACCTTCCAGATGCAGAACGAAGAAAATACTGATCGAGCAAATATAAAGCAAGTATTTATTCGTCACGTCATAACTACGAGTGAAGTGCCTTGAGTTCGGTTATAGGCTAAACGACCTTGAAAGAAGGGCCGACGCACTCTCTTCTAAAATAAAAACGACATTGTTTTTTATGTAGACAGTTCTAGTTAAAATATTACAGTAGAAATACGTAAACAAGAAAAAAATGTGCCTCGGATGTCTGCGTAGATTTTGAGTAATTACGAAATGATTTACATTGGTATTTATAGTTTTATGAGCTATTTACGAAGTGAGTTCGCTGTTCACGTGGTCGTACACGCTGGTTGCGATTCTAAGAATGTTAAATTGAAATAAACTTTGCTGCTTCTGTACCAATATAATGAACTATTTTATAGAGTGTGTTTTTAACTGATCGTTTTGGTAGTCGATTGGTCGGGCTCTTGGGGTCGATCCTCATGTTGTAGGCTTTCCAATTTTGTTGTTACTGAGACGATTGAAGTGTCTGATTTTTTTTCCAATTGGCAATAACTAGTAAAGTTTGTGTTTACACGTCTACCTACACCATGTCACAACGTGACGTGTAATAACAACATGTCATACAGTCATATTCCATGATTTGCACCAAAATATAAAATTTCATATTAGCTACATAAGTATTTCGTTAGATATCGGCATAGTGGTTGATTTGCAGTCAATGATGACTGACCACTTCCGTAGATCAATCAGTTTTTAGCATACATTAGTCGAGTGCTCTGATGTTTTGCCCACTTTATTGAGAAGACTTATAATGTCGAGTAGCACGTCTGAGTATTGGATGTACCTATATGCGATATATGTACATCGTCAGTATCTGTATGGAGCGGAAGGATACGTCCGGTTGTCGTCATTGCGAGGAACACCCGGAGGACGCCGTGGAGCTTAGGGGGCGGTGTGCCTTACTTGGGCCCCTCAGAGACGTGATCGGACGCTCCGACATCTCGTGCGACACCTTCAGCCTGATTGAGACCATGGTTTGAGCAAGAGGAATGGGGAAGCCGTGTCCTGCGAAGCAGTAATGTTCAAAGAAAGTTGTAGCAAAGTAAGTAGGAGGTGAACCGTGTGTGAGAAATATCCTCTTAATGCCAGCCGACACTTCGGGTGTCAAGGATCGTGCAATCCCGGATCTCCGGATGATCTCTAGCCTCCGTAGATAAGCGCGGATCTGCAGACGGCGAGAATACGCGCATGGCGTTCTGCGCGCACCTCAACCACAGATGGGAGACCATGTCCCATCCAAAAAGGGCGATCTTTTTCTGCCTTTCACTTCCTCTCGCTCGTCCCAGAGCCCAAGTAGCCATTTGATTCCCCTTGTAAAAAAATAAGAAATGTGTAATTTTACATTAACAAAATCATGTTTTAAATCTATGCAATAATTTGATTTTAAAATGTAATCGAATGTTCTTGACCAGCACTACCGATTTCGGCTTCTATTCAGTTGAGTACTATTGAGGTTTTCTATTTTCTACTAATTGGTAAGTTAGTTTCAAAAATACCTACTTATGGTTTAGTTGGAATAAATGATTTTAACTTTTGGATGGTAATTGCGTTCGTTGGTCATCTGCCTTCCCAGGACCAACCTTCGGAGCCTGGAGAGAAAAAAGTTTTATTTCGTTCTGCGAAGTATAAAATGAACTATTTCATTTCATAAAAGAAAAATACATACGAATCCGTTTCGTAATGTGAGGCGAGGTGATCTAATAAAAGCGTCGGTGCATTATATCAAAGATTTATGCGAGTTTTGTCTCTTCAAAAATGCATAGTGACTAACTGCATGGAATGTGAGCACTCTGCTCATTCACGTACCATTAACACGTGATTATAGTGTCTGGTGGTATAGCTAGATCTAGTTAGATCTTTACGACACTTTGTTTAAATAATGAATCTTACAATAAATTAAGAACAGCCGCGATTACATGTGTTCGCTCGTAAAATGATTTAAAAGAATGTGTGATCTATTAGAGAGTAATAAATTACATTTTTGTGTGTATGCCAATGATTAATGGATGGAAGGGTTTATGGAAAAGACTTAGATGTTGTTGCTGTTACGGTGTGAAACTGGTCTGGTTTTCAGGTTGAAATTACGACCAGCCGGGGTCTCGGATCAAGAGCAATAATGTCCCGCGACCTCGGCTGTGAGCAGGAGACGGAACAGGGTGGTCTTAAATGTATTTTTTTTTTTTCATTTATAAACACCTCCACCATCCTCTAAGAAAGAAAACTCGCGAGGCGTGAAATATCGACATTAAATTTTTTTAAGTCGAATAATGTGGTACCGTCTTTAGCAACATGAGTATTTTATTTTAAACAGTTTTTTAGTTTAGTTTCAGTGATGATTATTGCGCAAATCCTCTCCTTGAGAGCAGAGACCTTTGCTCAGCAGTGGGCACTTATAGGTTGATGATGTATGTATAAGTAAAAACCATTTACTCTTACAAAAAGTATAAGGTGTTAACGAGTATCTAAGTGAAAAGAAATAGATAAGGACGGCAAACGAGCAGGCGGATTACCTGATGGTAAGCAATCAGCGCCGCCGTAGGACACACGTAATACCAAAGGAGTTATTACAAGTTCGTTACTGGCCCCTTGTGGGTTGTTAGAATTTACGGACTCTATCCTCAAATCTTGGGAGGAACCTCACTCACACGGCGAAACACAACGTAAGTTTTCACGTTATTTTTCTGCGAGGCTATGATATCACTCCGGTCGAGATGGCCCATTCGTGCCGAAGCATGGCTCTCCCACACTTAGGTATTAAATTTTGCTGTGCCTATTAGGGTCCATTAATGATTTTGTTATATATAACGTGGAATGTAATAAATTTGTATTTTGAGTAGTAGAAATATTGAGTAAGAATTGAGTATTCAGGTATAAAGGAGGCGTGCATCAACCGATGATGAGTTCAGATTCTTTGCCGATGTTCTAGTAACAAGAATTTCGATATTTCATTATAAATTCTGTTTTATTATAACGAGTAAGTTTAATAATCATACGAAGACACTTAAGAACGTCAAATAAGGTAGTTATTATAGGTATATAAACAGGTTAATTTAAGAAATTAAAAACTGTAACTCTCTAGTGATGCTATTTGCATGCCCTTGATTTCGATATCTATACATATTTTAATAGTGAAACGGTACAAATCCAGTTTCTTTTCCACCCTAGTGATACATACTATATTTAAGTCATAAAGCCATCATCGCCTAGTCCCAACAAAATGATTCATTGTAGTTGTCACATGATATATTTATATAAAATTTTTAAGACTTAAAGCTCTTAAAATTCAATTTATACAATTAAATATACCTATATAACATTATAAGATCGCGTCTGTCTAACGTTAAAGAAATTGGCAGAGTTAAAAATTGTTGGTGTTTTTTGCAACTATAGTTAACATACTTCGGGGTACTTCTAAACATCGGCCTTGAGGATGGTTTTAAAATAAAAATTTTGCTGAATATTACTTTGATAGCATCCATTAATAAATACTTTTTATTTGTACCATCCACTGCTCAAAAAAGATCTTAAACTAAAATTATTAAATGACTTCTGTTTTCCTTCCCTGGCGAGAGGGAGAGTCAGACTCTTACTGACTAAAAACCACCTTGTCCTTGTGTGGTGCACTATTATTAACCCCGGCTGGACAAATAAAGACTTATAGAGTGATATGAGATGAGTTTTTATCGCATAGATATAGCTACCACCTTCTTAAATCCGCTTTCTGAAAAATCGGTTCTTTCTAGAAGCGTAAAAACTGCAATATTGTTTCCAAGTAACATTGACACGTGTCACAAGACAATGATAAATCATCCCGCTTGTAGAACTAATAAAAATACCTTTAACAAAAGAGTGAAGAACGCTTTCCCTAATGACAAAATGCCTAGACAATATTTTTTCAAGGAGTCATTGGAAATGTATTTATATATTATTTTTCATTTTCACGTGTAAAGAATCCGAGTGTTTCGCGTGGGTTATGGCGACACTGATAACTCAGCGGGTTCTCATCGAATGCCGTGCGCACGAGTGGGCGGTGCTTGCGTAGCCAAGCGTAGCGCCCGCCTACGAACGTATTAATGCCTTCTATGGATATCTCAGAAACTTTTCTTAGCTTTTCTTGTTAAAGTCTCATAGATTTTTATTTTATGAATTTCAGGACTGACATTTAGTGGTCAAAAGGTGGATATAAAAACTTTTCTGGCCTTTAAATACAGTCAGTATTTAAAGGCCAGAAAAGTATAAAGTATAAAGCTACACTCATTAATCATAAGTATTTTTCTTAGCCCTTCAATAACATTAATATTTGACCCGCGATTTTTAGTTAATTTAGTATGTCTCACGATAGTTATTATAAAAAACATTTATTATTAAGTTTTGTATTATTAAGTTTAAGAAATCCTATAAATATTTTGAAGACAATTAAGCACTTTATATTAAATGATATAAATACGGTAACCATAATATAGCAACTACGATTAAGATTTTTAGTTACCTAGTGAGCTATTGTTTAGGAGCCCGTAACAAAAAGTACAGAACCGAAACTTGGAGACTAAAGAATATTTATATTATATATAGGTAACATATTCGATATCTCGTTAATTGTAATAAATTAAAACGTTTAATTATGCTCTAGGTAAAATATATTAATATAATGATTTGTTTCTGGTGTAGCGAACAACGAAATTCAGTTAAAAATAAAACATTTATTTGTCTTTTGGAGTTTAAATATCATTAATTTCCAACTCGAATAATTTTTCCTTGCCAGTTTTTTGTGATACGAAGTAAATAGTAGCGATTAATATGTGTACCTATCAAAGTAAAATACTCGTACATTCTTGTTTTTTATAAGTGAAGTTTTACAATTTATAATGTACGATCAAATATAATATTATTGTAGAATACCGCCACACCGGGGTAATGCCCTTTAGATTAATGATGCTAGTAAGTTGTGTAAGACGAGCGACAAAATTATTAATTTTGACTACTCGTTAATTTGATTTACGAATTACTTTTTTATTTTCAACTACCTAAGTCTTTTTTTTATTTTACAATTTCTTTATCGATATATGTATAAAGATACATTTTATTTTTTGAGCAATAATTTAATTTATTTTTATTTTATGTCAGAGACGCATTTATGTTGTTGATAATTTATTTAATATCTTCATTATTAATGATATGATAAAAAAAAATTGTACGAAGGTGGGTTTAATACCACGGGCATTCTCTAACAGCCAAACTTTTGGATGATGCAGCGATAAATTAAAAGGTGCACAAAGCAAGCATCATCTGAGACATTAGATGTACATAGACTTATATAAATATGTACTATACTGTAAATAAATATATATGTTTATTATATATTATACATACAGCAATAATATAATAATTAATGTGTAAATAAATTTAAATAAATCATAACAAAGAGCGGATAATTTCAATAAGTTTACAGAAAGGTTGTTGAGTCAGATGGCTATTTCGTATCGCGTGGTCATCGGGTGGCGAGGCGTTGCGTACGAGTATTCCAGAAGGGCGCATCTTCAGCGCACTATAAATACGTGGACTCAGCTTACAGGAGTTCAGTCTAGCGGTGCTTTGTACAGCGCACTAACTCCACACCTCCCAAGCCACACACACACACACAACATGTCTCTGGAACGTCAAGTCCGCGCTAAGGTTAGAATATTTTTTTCAAATATTTATTTTTTATTCAATATTTTTTGCATCCTGCATTCAGATTTTAATCTGATCCGTTTGAGTAAATGGCCAGGATTTAATTTTTTTCGATACAATAAAATACTATATGGAAAACATTCATAAGATACGATCATTACATTGTAATTTTTAAAAAACTAAATATCTTATAGAATTTTATATTTGTGAAAAAATAATTTTGTGAAAAATTTCCTCATTATAACAATGCACTGTTTGTAACAATACCCATATACCTAACTTAAAATAATCAGAATGATCTCTGAAAAGGAAATAATAAAATATATATTTTTATATTCACAGTTGGCTTCCAAGCGCAACGCTGACCAGGAGAAGGAAGCCCAGGAATGGATTGAAACCATCCTTGGCGCCAAGTTCCCCCCTGGTGAGGCTTACGAAGATGTCATCAAGGACGGAACTGTCCTCTGCCAGCTCATCAACAAGATCAAGCCTGGCTCTGTTGCCAAGATCAACACCTCTGGTGGACAGTTCAAGATGATGGAGAACATCACCAAGTAAGCTATACACAGTTTATGTATAAATCCGATATGAAGAAATACTTGCTCCATACCACTCATTCTTTGCATTGGTTAAAGTACAGAAATAAAATTAAATTCTCTGTTGCAATCGCAATGAAGTTGATATCATTGTAACTGCAGTGCGATCCGTAAATATCTTTCTATTTAACTTTTGCACACGTCGGCAGCCAAATGAAAATGAAATATATTTATTGTTGTTCTGAGACAAACTGGACATAAATTAATGTCTTGTTTTTTGACACAGCTTCCAGGCCGCCATTAAGGCATACGGTGTCCCTGACATCGATGTGTTCCAGACCGTCGACCTTTGGGAGAAGAAGGACATCGCCCAGGTCACCAACACACTGTTCGCTCTCGGCCGTGAGGTGAGCACTCCACTCTTTATTTAGCCATAGTAAGAGCAAATATGGCACTCACAAGAGTTACAATTTTGGCCTCATAAACAGGCGTTAACACATTCCACCAACATCAACGACTTTCATAATATACATGGTATTACGCAATGAATTTTATAATCTTGTAAACATAAAATCTTTATCGCACCCAATTTCATCAATCGTCTGTTTTAATTATATCTCACATACACAGTTTACCTAGTATAAACATGTGAGATCGACGGAACAAAATCCACCAAGCATCGGATTAAATAATGTGTTCACAGATTGTTTGGTTTAAGATACGTTTAGAATTTAAGGAGTTGGCGGTATGCCAAGTTCAACCAAATTTTACGAGCATCTTGCAACATTACCTCAGTTTTCATAAATATCCAAGGTCGCTTGTTTAGTTGAGGCCGAGTGGGCAATATGGGATTGGAATCTTATACGTTTGCGGGTACTTTCTTAAAGCGTTACACTTTGACACCTTTATTAAACTATGATGTTTTTGTTGTGCACAGACCTACAGGCACCCCGAGTGGAACGGTCCCTACCTGGGACCCAAGCCCGCTGAGGAATGCAAGCGTGACTTCTCCGAGGAGGTCCTGAACGCCGGTAAGACCGTGATCGGTCTCCAGGCTGGTTCCAACAAGGGCGCCACCCAGGCGGGACAGAACATGGGCGCTGGCCGCAAGATCTTGCTCGGCAAGTGAGCAGCTCGCCTCATCCAGTGATATTATTTAATAAGATATTTTTGTACAAAACTGAGTTGTATGGACGCTAATGTGAGACTGTTAGCCTTATGGATATCTAGTCATGCGTGATATGGAATTTGATCTTCTGTTGTTTAGCAATGTAGTACCTAGCAATCTGTTGCATACCTATGGGTCTTGTTATACACTCCATGTAGCGCCAAATGATTTTGTACATAAGTGCCTAGTATTAAGATAAAATTATTTATTTCCATTTTATTATATCATTTTATAATAAAATCCAAAACAAAACGGAATTATTTTATTGATAACGACTTTCCTATAATCTGAAACGTATTTGCAATCACACAAAAAACATCCAAGCAAACATAATTTTATTTGCCAACATGGTAAGTGTAATATTACATTTGGCTTGTAATTTTTTGAATTCCAATTTGGAATGACCGCAAAGGTAAAGGCTGGATGCGGGCCTTATGTCAGGATAAAAAAAAATCTTACCATAACCAACACCTTTCACACAACCTTCTTTTGGAAACTATAAAATTCTATTGTTATGTTGGACATCTTTGAGCGTTGAATTTCATGAGAAACGAGTTATAACTTGTACACATTTTGTGGAGAAATTAATTACAATTATCTATGAATCAAGGGCAATGACTCATAAAGGTACCTACATACCCAAAATAACGTTTTTAATATCTCTTGAATCTTTGAACTAGTTCCAAGAGGAAAACCAATTAATTTTTTCGTTTGTTGTTGACAGCTAGTTGAATGGAGTCATCAAAACTGTTAGTCCGGTGTAACGAGCAATTTATTGTGAAAAGCTACATATTGTAACTAGTACAGCTAAGTACGCATATAAATATATGTAATGGAGATTTGCCAGTTTTATTAAGTACTAGCTGTTGCCCGCGACTTCGTCCGCGCGGACGCCGTGAAGCACCAAAAATACTATGCCTGCGTCATTTTAAGTGTAGTTTTTTAGTGAGCAACTTTTAAGATCACATTCCCTTGCAGTTGGCGCTGCAGTATAACTTCACCTCATGAGTACCTCTCATAGCGCAGGTGAATTTTGAATATGGTTTAATTCCTACATCCCACGAATAACAGAATTTAAAGAAACACAATTATAAAATTTCTCTATAAACTACATTTGTAGTTTTGCTCTCAGTAGCCAAAATGTATAGAGAGTCAGGACTGGTGACGCGGGAGCAAGCGACGTACAGTTGTCCGTGTGAGAAGCAGCTCGTCCTTAGGTCGACACCCGCAGCCTTCAGTGTCTGTCTCTGTGACTTATTGATAGTCATCGCGAAGCAAACACTCACAGGGAACTGCACGCGCTTGAACTGGAAGGAGTAGTTATGAGGTATGAGGGGAATGCGTGGTGTAAACACTGCCTCGCCGACGCCACAACCCGTCAAAATTTCCGCCTCGATAATATTTCTATGCAGTGAGATGACTTTAAGGCGGGTCCCGTTACACAACTTCGGAGGAGACAGGTTCCGAAGAAGCATGATCGGGACGCCAACCTTCAGCTTGATGTTATGTGCTGGAAATCCACTTGCTGTGAGGGAGTTGAGAAATTCCACCGGATAGTGTGTGGCGTCATCTTGCTCGACTACGGTGTTTATGGAGGTGTAGGTACACCACTTCATTCCCCTCAATTTCCGAGAGAATGCTTTCATTGATTCGACCGAGAAAAAGAAGCGCGGCTCCGCTGCAAACATAACCTCGCCTCTCGTTGCGTGTTAGTTTCAGACGCGCGAGAATCAGCGTGGCGCTCCCGATCACTTTCCAGTCAAATTTGTCGCGCTTCGACACTCTCGCAAGATCGAGCGACATCAGTGCGGTTGCGCTGAGAACTCAGCCTCGTCTCTCGCTGCGTGAACGTCTCTGACGCGCGTGACTTAGCATGGCGCTCTCGATCAATTGACAGCCGCATCTCATGTGCTTCTGCACTTTCCTGAGACCGCGACAATGCATTATGAGTGCGCATGGTATCTAATCGCGACTGGCGCGCCGTACTACATTCTCCTCTTCGAGTCTCTGCAATTTGTTCACGAACAGCAGTCAACCTGGCCTCACGCTCGTCAGCAGTTTCAAGGGATCGAGCTAACCTTCTTTTTCGCGAATGGTATGACGATTGTGATAGATTAGACCGCTTTCTGGGCATTTTTACTATTAAAAGACAAATTAACACGAAGTAAACAGAATAATTTGAGAATCTCGATAACTTATAAACAACGCAGGTAACCCCCGTTTCTATAGGTTAAAGCGGCGACATCGGTACTCATAACATCACTTTTTGTGAACGAAACCATAGCGCGATCTAATTCGACGCCAACACCATCTAGTTAAGAAAATGGAAACATTTTTATATGGTAAATAATAATAATTTCTCAATTACGACTGAATACTTTTTCAACGTGAAAAAAACGTAACCGCATATGAATAAAAAAAAATGCTAGTTCTTCATCACACCTATGTTTATAATTATACACAAAATATTGTATGAATTCCGAAGCAACAATTTTACCAATATAAGTCTATGTTTTATTTTATATTTCATTTTTTTTTGTGTCTAGGTTTATGATAGCACGTCCTGTCAAACAACCTGCTTACAAACGTAATTTAAATGTGTATGAGGTAACACTACATGCTGCTTCAGTAAGGTTTACAGATATAAAGGTTCATTACTCATCCCTCGTAGGCGATAGCGTGATAATATGTAGCCTATGTGATGAACCGACCTGGCAGTTATGTTCATGCAAAATTTCAATTTAATCCATGCAGTACTTTTTGAGTTTATCCGTAACAAACATACAGACAAACAGACAAAAATTCTAAAAACCATATTTTTGGCTTCAGTATCGATTGTACATCACGCCCCAAGTATTATTTCAAAAATATATTCAATGTACAGTTTTGACTTTCCTACGATTTTATTATATGTATAGATTCCGTAGAATATGAAACCATCCTAAGTATTAGATATATGGTTATGGCAAATTACTAAACGATGATTATTGTAAAAATCAATATTCCAATTCATCGAACATTTTCTTCCGCCACTTGTTGCTGGTCCAACGGATGCTGTTTTAGAAATTTAGGCTTTGAAGCAAGCTTACCTCCCACAACCACCTTAATATTTAAAATGAAGGTGTAAATAAAATAACAGCTGTTATAATTTCCTTTACTAATTTAAACTGTACTAAACAATATTTTATACGAAAAAGATAGCACAAAACAGTTTATAGGGACAATCCTCAAATCTCTAACTCCTAAAAGGCCAACAACACACTTGTATATCCTTTGGAGTTGCCGGAGTTCCGGGGTAAACGCAATAAGGCACCGCAGCCTCGGCTTAAAGCAGGAGAAGCAACGGGGATTTTAAGTCAGTAACAGTGTCCCTCCACCTCACATCTCCCTTCCCTTCGATCCTAGGCAGGGGAAGTCATTTGATGATATGTCCCTCCCAAAAAGAGCTCATATGGTGTTACGAGAGCCCATAAGCCGTGCCGATTGCCTTACATCAGATAATCGATCCGCTTGCTCGTGTGCCGCCCTATAATAAAGGGCTCAATCGGTATGCCCCAAGTCTAAATCGAAAGCATTTTCTCAACAGTCTCAGTCTCTCATATTGTAATGTAATGTATAGTGAAAATCCTTACATTGTGGTTCATGCATCATTGGAGCCTAGCCAGACTTCTCGCCAGCTGCATCAGTACTTTGTATCATTAGCTTTAATTATTTCATGTTGTTCCTTGTTTGTTCATTGTCATAAATGTTTTATGACTTACTAATTATTTTACTGCTTTTAATAAGAGATCATAAATGTTGAAAATATGTTTCTTTACTTTTCTAAGGGGTTCAGCCAGGGTGGGCATGGGTGGGCATGGTTGGGCAAACGCAATAGATTCCCGCGGCCTCGACCTGGGGCTAAGGAACTAGGTGGCTTTTAGTCAATAAGAGTCTTACATTCTCTCTTACCCCAACCAGGGCGAGAGACGTAATATATTTATTTATTTATTTATAAAAACTTCATGCACAATGGGTACATAGGCGGACTTAATGCCTTAGGCATTTTCTACCAGTCGAGCCTTGGGTGATGCAGAGATGAGCTAATGGTCGGTGCAAGAAGCAAGCAAACAGACTTAAATTTAAATGAGTGAAGACGAGATAGATACATATATATGTGCAAATATTTACATACAAGTTACAATATAATATATATATAAACTAAGTACTCAAATTAAATTATATATTTATAAATAACATATACATATATAATATATACTTATACTTATTATAATATACTATATATATGGTGGTCACGATTCAGCCAAACCTTTTAGCAAGAGCTCACGAACCTTTTGTTTGAAAGTCAAACGACTAGACACCATCCTGATATCAGGGGGGAGCGCATTCCACAGCAAGACAGACTGAACGAAAAAGGAGGAGTGGAGAAAATCAGTACGATGAGTGGGACATTGAAGAAGACGGTTATGGGAAGAACGAAGGTTCTTGCTGTGGTTTGCGCACATGTATTGAAAGTAAGACGATAGATAGCTAGGCGAAAAAGGTGAGGTAAGGAAAGAGAACAGAGTGGTTAGCGCCCTTTGCTCCCTGCGCTGGCGTATGGGCAACCACTTTAATTGCAACCGATGTGCAGAAACATGATCATATTTACGCAGGTTGAAAACGAATCGAATGCAGTTGTTAAGAAGTCGGTCAAGTTTATTGAGTAGATCAGCATTCAGGTCGTAGTAACAAACATCAGCATAATCAATAATAGGAAAAACCAAGGCCTGCACCAGCATCGCTTTCGTAGAACACGGAAGCAAATTCTTTAGTCGATACAGTGTCCGCAAGGATCCAGTGGCCCTCTTACATACGCTCGCAACTTGTGCATGCCACTTCAAAGTACAGTCAATATACAGGCCCAGATCCTTTACCTCATTGCTTAGCGGGATAGTGGCACTATCAAAGAGAATGTTTGGTAAATTTGCTCGGTTCATTCCGCTTAGCGTACGAGAGCTACCTATAATGATTGCTTGGCATTTTAAAGGATTCACCGCTATGCCAAACCGTTCAGACCAGTTCTTAATAGCAGTCAAGTCGCTATTGATCGTCATAATTGCTTCAGAGAGCCCATCAATATTAGCTGGACAGTACAACTGCAAGTCATCGGCATACAGATGGTACGCACACTGAAGTTCAGAAGTTATTAAATTAATGAAGATGGAAAATAAAAGAGGAGATAATATACCGCCTTGAGGAACGCCAGTTTTCAATTTGCACCAATTAGATGAAAACTCATTAAGCTTAATCGACTGCTGACGGTCCTGAAGATAGGAAGAGAACCATTCCAACGATTTGCCAGAGATCGCAAGATGGGATAAGATTGCTAAAAGGATTTCGTGACTGACCATATTGAAGGCATTCGAAAAATCAACCAAAACCAGAATGGTGGCCTTGGTATCCTCAAGAGCCGCTCTAATATCGCCAGTCACTTTGAGGAGGGCGGAAACCGTGCTGTGCCCAGGTCTAAATCCAGATTGTAGAGGGCTGATAAGTCCATTTGTGTAAATGTATCTTGAAAGCTGTTTATGAACACAGGCTTCGAGGACTTTGGATAGGAACGGGAGTATAGATATAGGCCGAAAATGAGAGGGAATAGTAGGAACAGTGACTTTTGGAAGAGGACGGACATAGGCATTACGCCACAGGGATGGGAAGGTTCCGGAAAAGAGGGAATAATTTATGATATGGGTTAAAGCTGGCAGGAGGTGATCCAAGATATTAATGATCATATGACGAGAAATGTTATCACAACCTACAGCTTTGGACTTGATGGATAGGATTATCTTACGGACCTCCGACAATTCAACTGGTACGAAGAGAAAAGGATGAGAGATGTTGGGACGCATCAGATCAGAAATAAAGTCCACGGTGCGTTTTTTGACTAGACGATCCATAAGAGGGACTGTGGAGAAATGATTGTTTAGATCATCTAAGTCAATTGAATTGGGAAGACCTGAATATTGCGCTTTGCCGACACCTAGGGTTCGAAGGAATTTCCAGATATCAGCAGAAGATGTTTATGATGTAATGTTTTTCCCACATCAAAATAAAAACTAAGTACCCACCTATGTATATTGATTAATAATATAAGCTAAGCCTTGTCTCAACTTTTCTAAGCCTCTTTTTCCAACGAATAAAGTTTCTTCAAACGAACACATTTGATAACGATGGGGCAACAGCTTTTTGATTAACATTATAAGCTGCCATTTTTAACCCGCCTACCTGCCAAGTGTGGATTATGGTAAACCATCTCATGTAAAAAAGCGGGCTTATTCTCCAGCAGAATTTTGGTATCATACAGCGGCAAACGAGCTGATGGATTACCTGATGGTAAGCAATCAGCGCCGCCCCTGAAATCCCGCATCACTCTCTAGTGATAAACGGCAACGCACTTGCTTCTCTAAGCAAGTGCGTTGCCGGTATTTTGTGGATAAGGGGTTTTTGGGATTCAGGACTTGGAGAAAGATGGGGACGGATTGGATTGGGCCCCCATTACTACAACGCTGTGGTTATTTTACAACCGGTTTTCTTTAAGGCCATCGTATCACGCCGGTCGGGTCGGCCCATTCATGCTAAAATATGGCACTCTCTCTTCCGACAT